CAGTGGATAACTTTGGCAGTAAAAGACGGTGTTTTTTATTTTGGTGTTCACAAAACRTACRTGTGACAATTMATTTTATGATATTTTTATAAAAATGTATAATAGAGTTTTCCTTTTTAGAAAATAAAATATAAAGAAAAGAACTGAATACTAGATTTTCATCTACATCTGCGACACTTAAAACTCTCCTACATATATATTTATTTTTTTTATAACAATGTCACATCGTACTTTATCTGCTTGCCAATATTATTTAAAGTTTGATCTACTGTGGCTATAATTTAACTTTTTATTTACTACAGTAAACGCTACAGCTTTCATACTGTTTTTAAATTATTAATTATACTTACATTTTAGCGGTAATTTTTGCATCATAATTGCACAAGATTGAAATTTTATTGTCACGTGGTTTGACATGCAAAAAAAAATGTTTTTAATAACAAAAATGAATTGTTATCGCAAAGTCCTATACGTTTAGATATTAAAAACCTCAGCAGCAGCGTCTTTTAGTTCCATAGATACCATGGCGCTACCATGGCGCTGCAATCACGCACGGTGCCTACAGGAGATCGAGAATAGGAAAAACTGTATAGCTATATTCTGTCTCATTATCTCGCAAGCTCAATCCTATATGTTTGTTTCTTTTTCGTGGCCGTTTCATCGCCATGCTTCATCACTCCGCTACAGCGCTGCGATGCATCGCCCCACTACATCGCCGCGTTTCATATTTTCATATCACCCCCATTTTAAAGAAGTTTTCACTTCAAAAATGTGACACAAACTTTTTAATTTTCTTTTTATTTCTATCTCACTTCCTCTCGATATTCAGTGAAGTAAAAATAGATTCAAGTTGATAGTTTAAACGTATTTTATTTGCTGTAATCGTTTTGCGTCAAAGCTAACACATTTTTACGATATTCCGGAAAAATTTCGGATAAGATTCGTGAGAGAAGGCTGCACCCGACACTCGGCAAACTCGTTCGGGAATTTTCAAAGGAAGCCATAACAGGTGAATGAGAGCAAGCGAACAAGTACTGAGATCCATCCTCCATGTACACCTAAACTGGAAGATCCTTTGCAGATATTTCTTCAAAAATTCTTATTCCTCGGAATCGGGGTGCACTTTAGCGGAACGTACGTACGAATGATTTCGTCTCGGTAAATTTACACGAAAGTTTCCCTGACGAAATGGAGATAAAAATAAATATACTTATATCTACGTGTATATCTAATATTTATATATATATATATATATTTATAAAGTGAAGTGAGAAATAGAGAAATAGAGAATACAAAATACTTAATATGAGAGTAATCTGTTATAACAGTGAGATCTCGATTCGATTTAGGCGTGGCACGGTTTGAAAACCGTTAACGCACTTACCAAGTTTCCACTTGTGGCCTAATGAAATGAGTATAGTAATTATAACGGTAAGACGATGCCCCAACACCAATTTACACCCGTCTCCCCGTAAAAAGAAAAAGACTTAATAAGAAACGGAGAAAGATGGAAAGAGAAAGAGAGAGAGAGAAATTGATTCACGCGAGTGGAAAATTAATTTCATTGCCGAGGTCGAAGCTATTTTTGCTTCACCATTTTCTTCCATCTCTACTTCTCTTATTCTTCCGTTTGCTCATTCTCTCTCTCTCTCTCTCTCTCTCTCTCTCTTCTTTATCCTTCTTTTTCCTTTATTTCTTTCTTTTATACTACTTGTCGCAACAAAACTGACGTTGATTTCCTCGTACAATTAAACTGAGCACTGTCCAAGCTCTTATTCATTACGGGTGTTACTTTTACATTAAACAGACGGCTTCATTCTACGCGAGAATTGAGAGTGAACGCCTGCGGAAACACGTCGGCTGAGTTACTTCTCTCTCTCTCTCTCTCTCTCTTTATCTCTCACTTCCCCAGTAATGGCAATGTTCCCTTTTGATTAAATCAAACGATCTCGAAAATGCGTAGGTATCGCATTATGCATTGAGAATTAGATCTGCACGAACGCTCCTTTATAGTACTTCACCTAACAAACGCTGCAACGTTTCGTTCAGTTGCGATTAATATATTAATTAAATAACGGAATGAAATTATATAATGTGACTAATTGAAAATTGATACTACACATTTATTTTCATTCAATTGTAAACTTAAAAAAATATTTACGAACAAATCGTAAATTAGTTGTTAAAAATGTGTCAAACAGTGCAATATGGAAAAAATAGCGACATAAGTATTGTACGTACAAGGACGTAATGAAAAGATATGACAAAATTGGCACAAACTGTTACCAACGTTTCGATCTCTTTCGAAGTAAAACATTAAAAAACCATGAACGTGGAACCGGTTTGATCGGTTCGGGTATTCACGCTTAAGTAACTCACATGCTGCCAACCGTGAGTTCGTTGAATCCTTCTCAACGTCCTCCATCTGTGCTGAGATGATTCTACGAAAAAAAGAAACGGAAAGGTTGTACACAGAAAGAAAACCGGAAAAACTTGCTTATCGTTTGGCGAGATCGTGAATCGCGAAAAAAAATTTGCACAGGTCTACGCGAACGAGCATCGAACGAAAAACGATTTCCGATCTTCTTCGACAAGCTTCTCCAGTGCTATCTAGAAGCGAGTATTATCTTTTTATATCTTACCTTGTTTTAAAATTCGCATTACTTTTATTGGTGCCGTAGAACTCCGTGTAACTTTGAAGACACGCGCTTTCATATATCTGATTTTATTTTTTTTTTAAGGAGTGGGGAGATTTAACATTTTATTTCATCCAACCTTAATTAAAATTATTCGTTAGTTCGTCACGGTAGATTAATGTTTTTTAATTATTAAGTTTTACCCTGCAAAATCTTACTCTCATATTAATATTCCTTACGGGCCACGAACGCAAGTTTGTTCATCGAAGCTTTTCTTTTTTTTTTCTTTTTTTATTAGTATTATTATCTTTTTTTATTATACAAAATCGTAAATACGAGGAAATTAATTATTTTCCATTTTAAAAACAGTTATTTTATTACTCTTATCGCATCCTACTCATAGATCTTCGTTATGGTACGATAAATTTACTTTCCACCACTATTTCTCATATACATCGGTGCACTCGATGGACATTTAACGCATCTACCATGCGTAAATATCGCGAACGAGATTCACTCTATTCAGTGAATAATACAGCATCGGTGAATGTAGCTAATAATTCGCGTTCACCGAGCTCAGTGCCCGATGTTCAGACCTAACCGTGGACAAACAGATTTGCAGGTAATAATTTCCCGTGGGGTGACGTGTGTGTAACTCTTACGCGGTACGCGTACTGTCTCTACGGTAAACGGACAATAACATGGAAAGTGGAGTTGCATGATATGTCGGAAAAGAAATGTTATGAGAAAGAGAAAAATAGATAGAAAGAGAAAAATAGATAGAAAGAGAAAAATAGATAGAGAGAGAAAAAATAGAGAGAAAAAGAGAATAAGCAAAGATAGAGGAAACAAGAGAAAGAGAGAGAGAGAGAGAGAGAGAAAGAATGAAAAAGGTGAAAATAGAGAGAAATTGCAAGAGGGAAATAGGGTAAATGTTTTGCTTCCTTGTTTAATTACTACTTACCACTGTGCTTAGAAAGCAAACGAAATGGAACTAAAGAAAGATAGAAATAGAATCGGAAATAGATAGAGAGAGAGAGACAGAGACAGAGAGAGAGAGAGAAGGTCGAAGAAACGAGAAGAGACACTAGAATAACGTGGAATACGCTTGAGAAGAGAAGAGTAGAGAGGATTCCGTTAAGCTGAAAGGCATTTCGAAGGAGAAGGAAACCTCTCGAAATTCCTATCAGAATTGGACCTCAGCGTATCCTAATGAATGCCGATGAGTTCATAGATAACGATGAGTACACTATGATCATAGAAGACGTGGAATATATCTAATGACGTAAGATCGAAATTATTGGTCATCTTATTTTTTTTTGTTTCAAAAATTCGTCTTCTTTATTATTTTTCTCTAATATTTTCATTTGGGACTCATCCAATGAATTTCTCCAAGTCATTTTCCAAGAGATATGTTTCGAGCGTGAAATAGGATTACAGGTTCAGCCGCCATGTGTTTCGCGGACGGTGGAGTTGGTAATTCTATCAGGATTGTGGTATCTTTCTCTCTCTCTCTCTCTCTCTCTTTCTCCCTCTTTCCTGTTCTACCTCTCTGTGTTAGTGCAGCTTCTCTAATTAATGTCGATAAGGACGATAAGGTCGGTTGATGCAGCAGTGCAGAAAGCTTAGACGGAGCTTGTTTGCCGTCGAGAGGCTGTAAAAAAAACACTGCGCCCACGAAGAAAAAAAAAGAAGAAAGAAAAAAAGATAAAAAGAATGTTATACGAGTAAAGAGAATTTCAGGAAGGTTTTAAATATAGGTATATATACAAGAAAGCCAATGAAAACATTGAGAAAGAGGACCAGAGATAGAGAGAAAGAAAGAGAGACACGATTTTGCATTTATTTAGAATAATATAATACATTTATATATATCATATAACATATATAATATGTATATATGATTGAATATAAAAATAGTTCCTATATTAAAACGTCTAGACTTATTAATTTTAGCAAAAAAAAAAAAAAATGAAAGTTATTTTCAAATAGATAGTGATATAAAATTGCATTCTGTATTCTCATTGATTTTCAAGTTGATCGAAAATTTACTTACTTCGGTTTAAGCTTTTTCGATCGATTGATAGCAGGACGATGGTAGATGGGACGATATTGCATCGTAAAAATAGCAGAAATTTACGTTCAACGTAGATGGGAATAAATTTTGCGCGAAAGAACTCGCCGTTCAGTAGGGCATTTCTGTTTGCACGGAAAAAATAACTTTTGAAAAATAGTTAAGTGATGGATTATTTAACACATTCGCGTCGGATGACGCTTAATGTCGTCATTTAAGATTTTCACTTGGGAGCGGATGACGCTTTATGGCAGGATTCTACTTTAATCGCTCGACAAAAATGGTATATTTGTCAATTTTTTATTAGAAAACTAAGAAAGATATTGATGTAGGGTTTATTGTGCTTAATAAATATACTCTTAAAGTACATTAAAAATTTTTTTTTATTTATTTTATACGCTCTATATACATTGGAAAGGCCCTTGAACAGAACGCCTAAAAATAGATTAGCTTTTGCGCTGTTGATAAAATCTTGAGATCGAATTATCTAAAATGAAAAAATCGAATAGTTTTATGTTCACTAAGACTAAAGCAACCGATGGTAGCAGATTTTTTCATTTACAAGTACTAATAACAAAATGGCGTCAGTTGCAAAAAAATTATCAAAATATCTCTTTTTTTTTCTTTTATTTTTGCAAAAAAAAAATAATACAAATAAAAATTTTCTTATAAATCTGCTACCAGAGGTTGATATATGTGTATAGATTATGTGGTAAAAATTTCAGACGAATCGAATAGCTACTTTTGGAGATTTTATAAACAAGCGGTATAAAAACGTTATTCCGAGAAAAACGCATTTAAAGTTTTTTTAAGTAAAAAATCACGAAAAACGTTAATTTACGCTTAATCAGCGATACCTGCACCATACAGTATTCCTTCTGACTGCTACAGAAGATAATGTTCTTCCAGTCTAACTTGTCTTTTTTTTGTTCTGCTCTCTTTAGAAGCTTCAGACGAGCGGCGATTTTCTTTGACAACGCGCTCGTTGTCTCGTTTGCTGGCATACTGAGCAGCGATTTCGCCGATTGTAATGCCCACTACCTCAATAATTTTCAAAATTGGTTGACGATTGATTTCGTATCCAGTACTGATCATCGGACACGAGTCAATGAATTTGTCTCCACACTTACAAGTGACACAGACTTTGAAGCCAAGGCCTCTCTGGCCGTATTTCGAAAATGAAATATTGCCTTGGCACACGTTACACTGTATCCACTGCGATAGCAATGAAAAAACCGAAAAAAACTGTATCATGCTGTAGCCTGCGTTGCCTTTAATTTTCACATCGAAATCTGTATCTTTGGTTTTTTGCAATTTCGCTGCCGATGCACTCGCATGAGCAGTACCTCCATCGTAGGTGTGCTGGTTTCCTCGGAATTTACGCTTTTTGAATTTAGATCCTGGACGTCCACTTGTAGAACTGTGATGGTATGATTTCTTCGAATCAATTGCAAATTTAGTATACTCGAAGATGTTGCTCTGTTGAATTTCGAGACACGACTGCTGCTACAAATCTGTTGCTACAGTACTATAAAGTGTCGTTTGCACCAAATATATATAGTGAAGGACATATGCGGAAGAATACACTCCTAAATCTATTAACGGATAAGCAGAAATAAGAGATTTATAATAGTACGCAGCTGCTCGAACGAACAAAGCCAGATATGAGTAGGTTCACCGCGCGCGTCAAATTAGCGCGCACAAATAGTTTCGAGGGACGGAAAAGTACAGTTACGATGCTCTGATCTTTTTGAAATTTTCAGAGAGTATTCTTAAATATATTTACTTACAAATAATTGAAAAAAAAAAAATTTGAAAAAAATAAAGTTAAAAAGTAGAATCCTGCCTTATGTCGTCATTTAAGTTATCGTCCATTCTTTAAAAATATCATTTTTTCTCCACTTATTACTAGATTTTTTTCATATGTGGACATTAATAATGAACTGAGGAATGTTTTCTCAATAATGTGTCTTATCGTTTCTTCCTTTATACGTTTATCTATACTTATTCATTGTTTAACCAATGCTAATCGTATCCAGTATCTGAGCCCTGTAAATAAGCACTCTGTGTTGTTTTGTATTATCGCTCTACAAAGAGAAATCTATCCTCAAAATATATTCTCTTTTTTATTTATTCAAAAAATATTTAACTAAGATTTTAGGAAAATTGGAATGGAATATTACTTAGTATCAGCTTTGCTACTGAAACTGAAATATTCTCTTCGTAACTTCCAACGATATAAGAATAGATCCCGTCTAAAAAGTACAACTTATAGAAATTTATTCAATAATTTACTATTTGTGAATAATAAAAATTAAGTGTCATATTTTTCTAAAAATTCCTCAAAATGGAGGAAGAATTTCTTTCGGAGACATATGAAGATTCATTATCAGATCTCGCTGAAAATGAAAGTGACAGTGAAGATTCTGATATTGATGTGTAGGAGCTGTAAAGTTCCTCTACATATTGAAAAATGTTTTCAAGCATACCATACCAAAAAAAAAATATTAACTTACAATATACATATAGCAAATAAAATTTGAAAATTATTAAAAAATATATTATATTTATAATTGTAATAAATAATAAAAATATTTAGAAGTATAATTTCAAATCCTCATTATTGTGTATAAATAAGCCCTATTCTCCCTTCTTTAAAATTTATTACTGAAATATTAATTACATAAAAAGTTATAGCAATTTTTCTAAACCCGATTGTAACGATTGGCCAAAAACGGCCCTGTTTCCGTGGTAAGTACAGTCAGCAACGCCCCGACGCGAATGTGTTAATAATATACGTTACATAAATTTGGATTAAAACGAAATAAATTAAACGTAATCACAAATAAAAATATTTGACCGTAATATTTGGAACTTTTCGTTTTCTTTGTCCATATATAATGACCAATAAATGAAAATAAAAAAATAGAAGCAAATAAAAGGAATACCGGTAAAAATGGAATAAGATAATGAGGATCAGTAGCAAAATCAGCGTAGCTTTTCTAACTTAGAAACTCGCGAAAGGTCGGTAAAAGCTCGTCGTTGTCGTCGGTTAATTAGATTCGTACTCATGGCGTAACAATGACGGTATTAAACACCGTTAAACCACAAACTCGTGAAACTACATCGGTACCGAACTGTAGGAGTTTCTTGCGTAGAATCCTTAATTAGAGCGGTGAAGATCTATTTCCGTAAGCTTTTCGGCACTGGGGTCTAACCGGTAGAAAAGGAAGCTTGCACCGTAAGTAGAAGCTCGTTCATTAAGGCTACGACTCAGAAGAAAAAGCCGTTCGATAATCAGTTTTCGTTAGTGGCAGACATCTACCCCTCCGCTTTTCGTTCTTCCTGTTTTTCCTCTTAAGCTTAAGTCCTAAGGCTTCTCGGGATTTATATTGGGATAGTAATCAGAGTTACCAGTACGTTTAATGCTCTACTTCTCCTTTTCCCTCTTCTTATTCTTCTTATTCTTATTCTTCTTATTCTTCTTTTTCTTCTATTTTTACGTCGATGAACTTTTACAGATAGCATTTCTCTTGGACTAGCATAAAATAAGAAATATCTAGCTGTCAACGAAAAAGCGTGTCTAATTACGAGTGACAGAATCGAGAAATTAAATATAAAAGCTGTCGAACAATCATATAGCATTAAAATATCTGGGTCAGTTGCTCTTATATACTATACAATTATAGATTATTTTGTAATATGAAAACTTTTTTTCGTAATACAAAAATTATAATACTTATACACATATAAATATATATATATTGTAGGAAAAAAAACTAGTATTCAGTTCTTTTTTTGTTATATTTTATTTTCTGGAAAGGAAAACTCTATTCAGGGAATACAAGAAAAGATTAGGAAGGCCATAAAACCATAAACAAACCTAAGAATTATCGGGATATACTGGTGCAATAAAAACCCTTTGTGCAGTGTCGGGACCCTTTGAAGAATTTCGGATTCCTATGTAAACATATGCGATACCATAAAAAAAGATAACATTCCGATGTTCTAGATCAAGTTTCTTTATGCATAGCTTTCACTACCAAAAAAACATAGGCTGTACCCATTGATTGACTATAGGGGGTGTATCCTTTTGCTATTGGTCAAAAGGATTCGTAATCCCCTTCCCTCCCCAAAGAGGTGTAGCTCATTTCTGATATAAATATGTGGAAAGAAGTAAGAAAATGTCTTTAGTGCTCAGTCTGTATCTGTCCTTAGTTAGTTTTAGTCTATATCTGTCCTTAGTTAGTTTTAGTCTGTATTTGTCCTTAGTCTTCAGTCCTCAGTTAGTCCGTCTGTATCTGTCTGTGTGTTATCTGTTATTCTGCAAATCAGTCACACACAGTCGGTCTTATATTTGTAACCCTTTTGTATTCTGTATTTTTGTAACTACGTCACTTTGTGTAAACTTATGTAAATACCGCTCGACACCACATCATCATAATTTAATAAACTATATTATATCATCTTCAGTTTTATATTTCTCTCGGTCTGAACCCCCACAATGTAAGAATATAACAGAATTTACCAAATTTGAGTATCTCCGATCTAGATACATAGAATGCATTCGTGACAAATGAATGCTTCTGTTATTTTTAATGAAGCATTTCGAAGAGATACGACATGTCGTGAGAGATTTTTTTTGGTCTACTGTGTTATAAATAATAGAAAAAACGAATGTGGGGATGGGAGGGGAAAAATAAAGTACAGAAAACACAATAATATCAACGTTGCAAGTGAATACAAGTAGCATCCAAAGTGGCTTATATAACGGTATGCGAATTTGTGCTCAACGTTGCCTACACTTATGACCTGCACCAAACTCGTATCGATAACAGACTCTAGTGGAACTCTCGCTCGGGACTTGTAATTAGACTCGATAAGACGGATTTCCGTAGAATAGGTATACGAGTGTTTGGAATAACGAGGTATATCTACAAGATAAAACTGAGAAAAAAATAACTTTTCTTCTGTATTCTGTTGCATAAACTACAACAAACTATAGAATTATCAAAGTAACATGATATTATAAACAGATTTTCCCATCAATTACCAAACGGACCCAGAAGAAAAAGAAAGGAAAAAGAAACAAAAATCTTTAGCCTCTCTATTTTTATTGAATAATCCTATGCTTTGTTCTCTTCTATCTACTTGTCTATCTTTATCAAAGAAAGAATACTTTCAAAACATCTTTCCTATCCTATCGGTCTAAAATTATAACGAGAAAAAAAGATTTTCAATCGTTAACAGCCTTCTTTTCTACTACCGTTAAGGTGGTGGTTACCGAAGGTGAATTAATTTTAAACAAGATTCAAAAGTTTGGAGAGAAAGCTTCTCGATGGAGCTCGAGGCCGATGGAGCTCTTTTCCAAAGACTGTCAAGAAGAAGAGGTGCTTGAGAAACGCTCCGGGCCGAATAAATGTTAGCGGTACTAACGGTGCAAGCCGATCGATCGATACACTACCCTGTAACTTCATCGCCCCACCCCTCACCCTATCTTATTCCTTCTTCTCATCTCGACATTCTCTACGTGAGATCGCAAATACGTTTCGATAATGTTATACGCCTGTTACAACTTTTTAAGTCCATCTTTTACATTATACACGAGAGGTAGAGACAGATATATATATATATATATATATATATAT